AAGAAGGTATGGAAGCCTAACGATTTTGTAAAATCGGTATTTGATATCGACTTATATCGATGCTGTATCGATTTGTATTGATTTCGTGATATCGGGGCAAAAATAACTAGTTCTCGATGCTACAAATTCAACAGGAGAACTAACTTTAAAGTCTGGCTATTAAAGCCTATAGGATCTAGGGATAAGCAGACTAAGAAACCAATCGACTGTTGATGCTGATCGAGAACAAATCGATGTCAATGCCCGTTCCCCACATACGTACAAGAACAATATACCCAATTCTTAGCAGTGTACAGGGTATAAAGAAACACTTTTGCTTTTACAAGCGCGTTTTCGACTGCGCCTTTTACTCAGTTATTTAACATATTTCTGGCCGTTGTTGTTGTAGTTACGCCTTTTGCTCGCAATCCTTGCCCGCGAGCCGTGGGCCGTGGCCCATGGCCCGTGGTCTGGAATGAATTATGTGCACTTCTCACGGCAAATAATTATTTTCGCGCAGTGGCAAACAAAACTGCCAACTGGCATGCGATTTTTAGGCCATTTCAGTAGCTGCAGTTGATTTTCGTTTTTATTTTCAATGTATTTTGAGCTCTTATCGCCGAGCCAACACTTCCTCCCACTTAATTTCTCACACTCCTTCCAGTCTGTAGTTCATTATGCGAACTTTCTTCTTTTTTTTTTGTACTTTGAAAATTGTTTGACTGCAGGGCAAAACGGCAACAAAAATGCCAGCACGTCGAAGCCAAGACGGAGGGTGATTCCTGTGTTTTTTTTTTTTCGTTCCATCCCCCAGAAAAGGTGTCGAGCAAAATTACAAAAAATTGCGAGCTATTGCATGAAATGTTTTAAATATGCGCATTTGTTATGTTCCCAGCGCCAACATTAAGTGAAAGCCAGCAGAAAAACTGTGAAACAAAAGAATTTTAATACGTTTTTTTTTTACACAGTTTAATTATGCAAACGTTTGCCACGTTTCTTGTTTGTCGATAATAAACAAAACAATTATTGCTCTGCATTAAGCAGTCGAAGCAGGCTGCAAATGTATATAAAACAAAGTCTTGACATTATAATTACATTTTTTGCAAATTACAATACTTGCCGGCAATAAAAAGAATAGGAACAATGACAAAGCACCATAAAACCAGACCAAAAATGTTCTCAGTTAAAAAAATCGGTTTTGGCCATGTTTGAAAATTAGTTGTGGCATTTAAAAGGGACTGGCCATCTGACAAGATAAAACATTTTACATGTGAGCATTATGATCGAAAAATAGTCTCTTAGGGTCTTTTTAATATAGTCTTTAAATATCCTTGTAGAGGATATTCGTGATATGTATGTCATGATGTCATCACGACATGGCATAGATGGCGAATCTCTGACCCCATAGGGTATATATATTCGAGGTTAGCAACAACAGCCGATTTGATAAGTTATTGTAAGGACAATTTGTTTGTTTATCTAGATATCTTAACATCCAATGGCCGTATCATATGGAAGGAACGATTGGTCAAAAAGCAGGTTCTTGTCTGGCAAAATATTCCCTTTTCGAAGTTATTCATCAAACTCAGCATTTGCCAGCTTCACTATGTTCACATATTTGCAATAGGCTATTGTCCACGAAGTTATTTAAACTTTCATTGCATGACAATACGAAAAGATTTTGAGTACAGAATGAGAGGACAAAACTTTACCTTGGTCATCAAAATATGTTAAATTTAGGCAAAGTTGTGCAAGCTTGTAAGCTATGCAAGGTCTTAAAAAAGTTGCATTTATGAATTTGTATGAATGGTAGCCTTACATGCAATTTGCATAACAATCAAAACAATATATGAACAAAATTGAGTATTGCCTTAAAGGAAACAACAAGCAAGGTCAACAAAGAGCACCTGCTTTAATAAAATTTAAATAACTAAGAAATTTGAAGAGTAAAATACGACAACAAGACAAGATATATGTGTGTGTGTGTGTTTGCGAAACATGCAAACTATTGATTAAAACTTGTGCAATTTTATGGCCCCATAAAATTTGTCTCAGCCAAAAATGGAGCAAAGCCAGCAGCAGCAGGAAAGAGCTGACCGACAGGTCAATAGAGAAGTCGCAGCTCTCAGGCAAATTTAAGAAGATGTGGCACAAAGTAAAACTATTTTATATGCGACGACAGCAACAAAATAATGTGACTACCTTTTCTTGATGGAGCTGGGCTAAGCTCGTGATCTAGCCAGCAACGGAGTCCAGTGTCTGGGCCTGCCGGCCGGCATTACCCCAAGCAATAAATGTTCAAAATCAATTGAAGCGTTTTGCTAAAGCCTCACACCCAGCCTCGAAGGGGACGACAAGGGGAATGCGCATACATAAATCGAATGCACGAATAAGTTGATTCCTGGGCAGCTTAAGGCAGCGATTTGCTATGCCCAAAAATCGATAAGGGTTGCCCACAAAATAGAATTGAGGAAAATGGGCAACGGAAAATGTCAACTAATTTTGAATGTCGAGCAACTGCAGCCAACGAGCTGACAAGAAGGCAGTCAGATGAGATGCTGCTCATACGCAGTGCGGGCCCACGGCGCAGCGGCTTGTCCCACATTCGGGCGGCTAGAAATCGGGGAGAAGCAATAAAACGCAATTCGGTCATAAAAATAGTCGAACGTCGAAACGAATAAGTGTGGAGACTGGGACATGCCTGGCCTAGCCTGGCCTGGCGGAGCAGCTAACAACTGCCCCTGGGCTGTCGTCCTGGGTCCGTCGTCTGGCGTCATGGCAAATTGCGAATTTTGCATATTGCCAGTAGCCAGTCAGTAGTTACCCCTCCCCAGCCCACCCACACCCTCTTCTTGCAGCACTTTTGGCTTGCTTTACTCAGTCTGTCGCTCCCTCTGGTGTTACCCGCAAGCGACCCTCTTCCCGGGGCCATTAGTCATTTGGCCAGGCCAACGCTTTGGCGTGTCGCCACTTTGCAGGATGAATGACCCCAGCACAGTTGCCATCACCCCACACCTTATGTCCCTCCCCGCCCCCCTCATGCGACGTCGACGATTTTCCGCAGCGGAAATTGCACACACGTCGCTGGCCAGCAACTATTTTCCATAGAAGACATTCATATCAGAGTTTGCCAGTCTACAAATCATCAAAACTAAAGTTTGTTTTTAAAACGAACTAAACAAGTCGTTATTTAGTTAAGTTAATAAAAATATATAAGTATTCTGTGAATAAATGTTTGCTTTTCAATCGCGCAAATATTTATAAAAACTGACAGCTTTTCATTTGTGCATTCGATTTTTATGAACATGCAAATGTAAATAAGATGATATATTCACCTTTACTTAACTGAATTTTTTCAATTAATATTTAAAAAAATATATCTTTGTATAAGTGTGAACATTGCATATACTTATATGTCGAATCTTGAAGTCAAAGCTTGCAGCCGACTTCACGACTGTCTGAAATCCTTTATAAACCAAGTTCAAATGAGAGTCAAGGGATCGAACCCTCCCCCACTGAAATATATACCTTTATTTTTGGTATATTAAACAAATATTTCTGTCATTATTGGCATATGAATGCCCTTTGGTTCAATTCTTATTTGGTTTTATAAAAGCTCATGCCCATCAGCTTAAACATTTTTCGTTTTTTGGCTTAAAATAATTATTAATTTTAATGCCGCGACGCATTAACAAATTGTGCACTCAGCCGAGCTGTTTGCCTTGTAATTTATACAAAAAATATTAAAAACCAAAATAAAAAAAACAAAACAGTGCAAAGATAAATATTTTTATTAAAATAGTAACTGTTGCTGCTTTTTTTTATTTTTTTTGTTGCTGCTGTTGTGGGCACATTGTGTATTTTATGCATTTCACGTTTAATTGATTTTTGCATTCGAGTGCATCAAAGATTCATGCATGTGCAATTAATGTCATTTGCGATATGCGAACTGTGCAGAGTGCAAACTGATATTTATGCATATGTATATTTCAGGTCAAAGATTTCTGATAAATTAACATTATTTATTGAAGTAAATTGAAGAACAATTGACAGAGCGTATTGTTGCATAGAGTTTTTAACTTTAATTAAGCTACAATTACATGGTTGGTGAGGGAAATGTTTAGTTGTTAATCCAAAACTTTGATAAAGGTTTTTCAGTTGGTAAACTGGTGCGAATTTTAATTGTAAAGATACAAAGCTTCATGGAAGCTAAATTCTACAAAAAATCTAAAATCTAAAGGTTGAAGTTCGAGTTAGAGATTAGTGTGAGCTGAAACTAAAATTAAAAAAATAATAAGAAATCTAATTGTAAATCTATAGTTAACCGTAGAAAGTTCTTAGCTATTTTATGATAATTATTTCATGTCATGTACATTATGTTCTGTTGGGTCTTTTCTGTCACACACTGGAATATCAGCTTGATATCTCTTGGTCCAGTCAGTCCCAGTCTTGACCCACAGCTGGAAAATAAAATGGGTTCCGCCGATATGGCAACACTTACACATAGCACAGAATTCAATACATTCGCAATCGCAATGCTGAAAATACAATTCGAAGAAGACGCACATGAATGTGTGTGTGTACATGTATACAGAAATTCTTGAAATTTGTGCTTGCTGCCCCAAACTCGTGGGCAGCCAAAACAGGTTTTCTTGAATAACTTCTGTGTTTTTGAACCGATCCTCACTAAATTTTCAACAGTTGATCTTATTGTACTATGGAATATTTGTGTATTCTCAAAAAGTCAAGTGCTTTTAAATTATTTCGATTGATTCGATTGGTCGACTGCATTAGTGGGCATTACACAAGCATTAACTTTTCAATATTAATGAGTTGCTGGGAATTTAGTTTAGTGTTGAAAACGTTATGGGAAAGATAAAAGCCACGTTTTTAAAATGCTCTTATATAAAAAAGTTTTGACAACATTTTTATAGTGGATCTTTAAAGGATTTTGTACAATTTAAATTCACTTTCTGCTCAAGTTACTACGCTCTAGGAGTTTACAATCATTTTTATACAATTTTTGATACAAATAGAACAAATGGGAGCTTCAAAATTTTTTGTATATAGCCTGTTAGTCTTACTTTTATTCGTCGATCTGTCAGTCCCAGGTTGTGATCAGTTTAAGTTTGCTTCGAGAGGAGGAAACTGCAATACTCTCAACCAGCGGCGTTCACCTGCGAGCGTGAACGGCTTTTCCGTGACACCCTCGAACAGGTCTCAAGTCGATGTTCGAGGGGGTGAGCCTGCGCCCCAGACACTTAGTGACAACTTTAGCCAAAACTCAAGCACCTATGATGAGGACAATGATGAATTTCACTTTCTAGTAACCGGCGGCTATCGTCGCGAAAATGATGTACTGGTTAAATATTTAGTTTCGGTACAACTTAATGAAAATTATTTATTCTTTGGCCAGAACCATCATTGTGGCGGCAGTTTAATATCTAAGACAGTGGTTCTAACAGCAGCCCATTGTATGTTTGTTAAGTATGTCGTCCCGGTTAATAAGAGCATTTCACATCTAATTCTGGCATTATGGTAGCCACAAAGCTCTCTCTAAAAATGATTTAATGGTAGTTGCCGGTACACCGCGTCGCTTATTGAAGACAAGTAACACCCAAGAAAGAAAAGTAAAAAAAATCATACCGCATCCAAAGTACACCACTCATGACGTACACGATGATATTGGCCTAATACATCTTAAAAGCGAGATGCAACCAGATGGAAGTTTTGTCGCCATTATACCCATAGCTGACGAGGATTCCCCTGCTGGATTGGAGTGCACAGTCATTGGTTGGGGTGCTATTTTTGAGGTAGCTATCTAACTGGAAAATATGAAAATTCTGAGTAAGAAAGGAGATTACAAATAGAATCAGATTGAGAAAATTGACTCCTTATAATAAGTTTAACGGCAGTGTAATAATACACGATTCTCATTCTTAGGGTGGCCCAATACCCGACGAGGCAGTCAGAGGCGATTTGATTATCCTTTCAGATAAGTTTTGCTATAACTTAAACGGTTTTGATGAAGGCATGATATGTGCCTCTAACCCGGCGGATTTCGAAGTGGACGCTTGCCAGGGTGATTCGGGTGGACCGCTATTTAGCGAAGGAAAAGTGGTGGGCGTTGTGTCCTATGGTAACGGTTGTGGGCGATTGAATTCCGCCGGCGTTTACGCCGATGTGTACTACTATCGCAAGTGGATAGAGCGTAATGCAGCAACGTGCTCATTGCCATCCTGGTTTCGGCTTCCACTGATCACGCTGGCAATGCACGCTCTGCGAGCTCACTGTCTTTAGAACGTGTGCTTGGGATCTCTTTAGATGCGATATTGAGTTGTACTCTGGCAAATATGAATATTCTGAGCACACCCTGGTAAAAACTATGTGTGGCTGCTTGAGAAAAGCTTTTTCATCCAATTTTAAACATTACAGTTTCTTCAGGAACAATTTATAACTTCAGCATGACTTTCCTTAACAAAGGAATCCTGTTTCAAATACAATTTTACATGGATATTACAAATAGAATCAGATTGACAGAATTGAGAGATGTATTTATAATTGACTCCCCATAATAAATTTACGACAATAAGCAGATTCTGATTCTCATTAAAAGTTGCATTCCTAAAGCAAAAATGCAAGATTTTGTCTAAATAATGCTTCAAAAGGTTGCAATAAAAGAAAGAATAGATTCTATACAAGTCGTTTAATAGAGAGCTTATATTGGACATATCTCTAGAATGTGATCGTAAGGAAAAGTCTGAATGTGTTTATGTGATTCGTTATTTCTAGTCCATGTTTCTAGAATGTTTCGATCATCCAGAATGGTGTACAAGTATACATTTCTGATAATTCCTCAGCTTGTCTGTCATTCAACATTTATGCTCGTAAATTGTTTTTGAATATCTTGATAAATGGTTTTTCGCTGAAACATGTTTTAATACATGTTTCAATCGACTCTCTCAGCTGGACGCCTCTCGTCATTTGGCAGTCGCTGCAGCACTTCACACACGCTCGTTAACAAACTCCGCCTGCCTGCCATTATGCTCCTCAATAAGCCACACCCCACACCAGCCCAACAACCGCCCACCATTTCACATGTAGGTCAAACTTTTGTGTAGCAAAAAGCGTTGCATACCTTTGGGCTGTCAATTTATTTTGCGCGCTTCTCGCACATTTCGCCTGCTGGTTTTTTGTATTTATGCTGATTCTCTGCTCGCTTCCCGCGGCTCCAGTCACGGCTTGGCACAAGCCTCCTGCCAGCGCGTCCTTGAAATTTATGCGTTCAACGCAGGCGAGGCGTGGCGTTGAGTGGAGCTCCGCGGCACAGGCTGGAGCTGGCCCATGGCGTGTAAAGCTCTCATTATGATGCTAACCACACACACACACACACACACCCACACACGCGCACACAAGGACTCTCACATTTCGGCAGATAAATGGCCATGCAAAACTAGAACTACTTACGCTTCTTCGGCCTGGCACTGGGCCAACGTGTAAGGCATTGTTTTGCCTTTTCGCCCAAGTAAATTAGGTCCGATAACGTGGCCACAGATCGGACCGGCCAGATAGTCCAAGGCAGCAATAACAAAGTCTGGCCAAATCTTAATGTGTGTGTGCGTGTGTTTTGGGACTGCCTTTGCAATTTTCAACTTGCGATTCCTTGTCGCCCAGCCATTTGTTTCACTGTACTTTGGCCACAGTTGACATCTGTAGCTTTATCGATTTTGTCATAATCGTTTGGCCAATTCGCGCTTATCTCCGGCTGCTTGTCAATCAGCTTAACAGCCGCCAGCCACAAGCATTGGCCCAGGCATCATTAAAATGACGCTCAGCTGAAAATGTTGCGTATACGCCGCGTTGTGCACTGAAATTATTCAGTACATGCGGCTGTCGAAATATTTTTGTGAACGCTTTCAACTCATAACTTCATGTCAATTTAATGGCAGCAGTTGCCGTCTACTACCTTCTTTTGCGTGCCAAAGCCAGATTATTGCAGTCATAAATTTTTATGATTTTCCATTGGCTGCAGCCAGCAGGCGTCGCGGGGGTAGGGGTTGCAAGGCTATTGCGTGGGAAAATGTGTTGCACACAACACGATTTTTATGCGAATTTAATAGCCTTGCAGATGCGGTGCAGAAAATTATTATAGCTATGCGCTACGTAGAACAAGAAAGACCGGACTTCTGCGGCATGCGGAAGATTAAATATCCTGGATGAGAGTTCGATTATACAAGAGCTTAATTTCTTACTGGTTATTCCCATGGAAGTCCGCCTTGAAAGGATGTTGTGGATCTGCTAGGCAAATAGAGAACTTTTCTACAATTTAATAAAATTATATAATATGTTCCGTATGCAGTCAAAGTTATTTTCAACCATGCGTTACACATCTCGTGTCTAAACGAATATACCCGCTAGCAGTTATACCCTGCAAAAGGCAAAAGGACATCTCGCTGTTACACAATTTTTATACGCCAGGCTACATTTGGTCGCTGCAGGCGTGTGGCCATTAAAAGTAAATTTAATAAAAAATAGAAAACTTTGGAGATGCAAAAAAAAAAATGACAGGAAACGTTAGGAAAAAGAGACGAAAACATATTGACATGCTGCCATCAATCACGCATGACAGGCAGTTCGTGGTAGGTGGGGGGCGTGGCAACCACGAAAAATTTATCAACAGAGCGCACACACAGCAGAGAGTAGCAACAGGACCGGAACAGAAGGCACAGAACACGGCAGGTAGCAGCAGCAGCAGTGGCAGCAGAAGTAATCTAATCCAATTACTCAACAATGGCAAACAAGCGGCGAGTGGGCGTGGGCGCAGCCCCCTTGGGCTGCGTGCGGGGCGCTAATGGACAACAACGAGCCGAAAGCAAAAAAAAAACAAGCGCAGGGAAACAGGAGCTGCTGCTCGCTGCTAGAAGGATATCACATGTCTAACGTTAAAGTTAAATAACCAAAGGCAATCACAAAGTATCAATAGCTCCAGGGCCGAGGGGGGCGTGCTGAGGTGGGGAGCTGGTAGAACATGTTAAGCCCGCAGGCGCATATTTACATTGTGCAGAGAGTCCTGGCAAATCCTTACATTTGATCATTAACTGGTAGCGAGTGCAAATCCTGTCAGCAGGCTCCAAATTGAAATTCGTGCGCATTCAATGAATTTTTGTGGGTTTGGACCCCATTGTTATCTGCCGGTCGGTCGATGCGGGGCTGCATATATTTCGAGCAGGATGTGGTCCGGCCTGCAGGACATGGTATTGACGAAATTATCATTTTTGTTGCTTCAATAAAATGACAAAGCAAACTAATATCGAACGGTCCTTTCGTGTCCTTTAAGCAGGCTTAGGCATGAAATTGAAAATGTGCCGCCACCCCCACAGAAAGCTTTTTGTTGTGGCTGCGCTAAGACGTGGAATGGGGGGGAGGAAGGGTGTGTGCTGGGGTAGTCGTAAGGGGGTATTCTTATGCTGATTGGATGTGGCCGACAGCCATGTTGTTGATGGGCTGTCATCGATGCGACTGACAAGGCACTAAACCAGCTGCAAATGCTAAAATCTTAAAGACTTGTTCATATTTATTCCCAGAATCAATTGTGAATGCAGAAAAAGCGGTGTCAAGGTTTTATGTGTAGGTTTATTCGGATGACAAGCAAAATCTAGTATATAAGCTTGCCCATTTTTCTGTCTGTCTGTCTGTCTGTTCGTCAAAACGCGTCAAGCTCGAAAACTACAAGAGATGGAGAATAATCGAGGAATATAGGAGCTAGAGCTATTCAAATTGGCATGTAGGTTCTTTAATGGCATGTAGAGATTAAAAATATATGACTAGGGATGCCTCCTTCCATTTCCCCAAGAATCTAGAGCCTTGCGCTTGACAGAATATACGATATTTATGCTTTACGGCAAAGCGGAAACAACGGATGGCAGTATAAGAGAAAGATAAAAAGATAAAAGATAGATAGAAAGATAATAGATAGATAGAAAGATAATAGATAGATATTCAGCTCGGAACAACATATATGTATATATATATATATATATATATATATATATATATATAAACATATATATACATATAGGTGGATGCCACGAAAGGGCGTAATATCCAGAATAATCATCGTGCACAAAATGTCTTAGTTAACAGTTTGTTGCAGGAACAACCCTTTTTACAAAACATCCATCAAATAACAATTATGCCGCCCAGAGTGCAAATATTTGTCATTGACACTTTGTAGTCAAATCGTTTATGCAAATATGCCAGAGTCAGGGCCAGAGCTGGAGCAAAGGATATCAAGGATTTCATTAGAGGCCAAGTGGACACGCCTTATCAAAGGCGGCGCACACACACACACTAATTTCAATATCAAAACCGCCTCAGGATACACTGCATTAATATTCACTTTCGGCTGGTTGCCTAAAACGAGTGGGCGTGGCATTGTTGATAAAGGGGCCGAGCTGCCGTTTAGTCCTGCGGGGATGATAGTCAGTGGAGAAGGGGGAAGGGGAGGGGGTCAGCTGCTGCAAAAGAGGCGACAAATTGAACAGCCCCACAAAGGCTAGCAGCCCATAACAAATCCTCAGACTACCTACACACACGAACACCCCCACACACACACACAGCTGGGGACATGGGCACGAGCCAAGCGCTGGGCAAAGGGTCAATTTGCTGCGCATCCAAAGGCCAAACGGGCAGCAGAATTTGCAACGGCCGAGCTTAAAATAGTTGAAAGCCAAAAGAGGCGACAAGTTAATAAACATTAGTTAGGGTGGACCAGCATATTTATAAACGCATTAGCAATGCATCACTTGATCAAATATTTTAAACGGGTTATCTCTTCTTTTTTTTTTTAAGTTATGTTAACAGAGTTTCGTAGCTGTGGAAGTTGATGAAAGTTCTGCGGGGCATTTGGCTGAGCTTAAAGAATTTCATGGAATAGTTAGTTAAGGCAGCTGGCAAACGAGCAGCTTGAATATTAACACAAATACAAGTCAAAGTCAATGTTTTGGCAACGCTTCAGCTCGGCCAGGAGCTGTTACACTGAAAGAAATTGTCGGGCATTAATTAACTAAAATATTAAATAATATGTTTCTTGACTAAGTAAAGCAGATGAACAGGGCTTTTTTCTAATTAAGACAAGAAGAAATGCCATTGAATATAATTTTGTTAATTTAGCTGTACTCAAGAAACAAGTTCTTCTTTTCTGTCAGTGTAGCTGCAGTAGATGTACTCCATGTATATATATTTGGGAAAATGAAATGGGCAAAATGTTGAAAAATGTCAGCTGCACATGGGTCAGAGGCAGCTCATAGTTGCCGCAAGAGCCTCAGAAGTCAGGACTCCGCCAGTGTGGACCTTGTGCATGTGAAGTGTGTGTGCTGACACCAATAGGCGACCGCATTGTAGGGAGGAGTGGAGGGAGGGCCAGTTGCAGCTGGCGGCTGTTGCACTTGTCAACATGCACTGACAGCAAGTCAGAAAAAAAAAGAAAGAGAAAAACTTGTAGAAGCAGCCAAGCAACAGCTGGAAGTTAAGTTAAGAGCCAAGAGCCAGACCCGCGCCAACAATTGAAGTTGAGGTCGCAG